GATTTGCTGGAGAATTCACTAAGTGTTGATGACGAGAGGATCGATGAGGATGCTCTTTCCATCGCATCCCAGGTCGTCCATCGGTCCTCTGGTTGTACTCCAGACTTAGCTGTTTCTGCCTTGATGTCTTCATCGGTCTTCTGGTTCTTCATCACTTATTGTTTTTCATTACTTTTTACATTATGAATTATGGGGTTTAACATCTCACAAGAATACGCGTATAGTATAAGTCAGCTCCTTCAGGTACTTTGAACCTGAGGCGGAGGCCTCCTTATATACACCTAGGTCTAACAAACTATGCTATAAACAAGGCGTGGAACTCTGAGCTGACTAGTCTGCATCCTTATCTTTGACTTGCCTTGAATAGCAAAGCAGACTTGGTCAAGCCGCCTTAAATCTGTTAGACGCTTTGCGAGAATGTCTGGGCTAACGCGCGCTTTCCATGAAGAAGGTAGCCATAAGCTCTGCATGTACTATGCAGAGGCTCTGGGTCTTGGAGGAGTTGCTTTAAGTCAAGCGCTTATGCTTTATGGCGCACAAGAATTGAGCGTTCACGGAGATAGAGCGCGGGCTCTGTATGAAAGGAACCTTCACTCTGAGTAAGAGCTCTGGTCCTTGATCTTCTGCATGAGAGCTCTTAGTCAGACAGCTTCCACAGACTAAGTCCTATTTGACTAGAGCAAGATACTTTTTACTTACACTTTCACAAGTTGAGGTCTAACACTTTACGTATTTTATAAAATGAAATCTCCTTACACAAAAATTACACTAAGAAAAACTATTTATAGGATCAAAGTATTAACCCTTCAAAGTCAAAATCAAACATCATAAGGAAAGTCAAACACGACGACTTATACAATTATAGACAATAGTAATTTTTAAGACGAATACAAATTAACACTGATTTTCAATCCTAACAGAACCCTCACCGATTAAGTTACAATAATCGTATGGTATGTTAAAAACTTAGAATAATGTCTATAGAATTAGAAAATTACAAGGATCATATTTGTGGTTCGCTTTTCATCACAGATTTCGTCCCTGGCCCAAAAGTCATTAGGATCATTCGTTAAATGCTCTCATACAAGTATTATAAAATATATTTTGGCCATTTTATATGTTTATAGAAAATTGAATGTGCATGTTTATAAAACTAATGTATGAATATATAGAGTATTATAAAGAAAACCTAAATGACATACCTCATCGTCCGTGCACTCTCTCCCCTTTCTTTCCCAAGTATGGCTACTACCTCCCCTATCTTCCCGGAAACATCGAACCCTCTTTCAACCCTAGAAAAGTAAGTGTATGCGATCCGTTCGTATTTCCTATAAGAATACCTTGAGTAAATTATTTCATCTCTTTGTCATATTATTATAAAAACCTGATTATATACATATGGCTTGAGAACCTTGCAATTTGATTAGAGTTCGATCTATCGTCAAGATTCTTGGATGCAAAGGATTTATGCTATAAATTGATCCCATTTTTTAATTGGATTTTGTTTGAAAAATTCTTTAAATTAGCACCTACTTCAAATGGTTCTTGAACTTCTTTCAAAGTGGCCTTCATTCTTTAAGCAACGATAGAGAGGAGGATCGTGGAGAGGGATAGAATTATCCTCCAAAATGCTTTGAGCACTTGTACATATGATTTACAAACATATACACTTTTTTAGATAATTATAAAATAAATGAAAAATGGCCAAATTATCCTCAATGACCGACACGTGGTGCAAGAACAAACTTAACGACCCTAACAACCAGAGATAAAATTCGTAATAAAATGCCAACCATGACCACGGTACTTATAATTTTTAAATTAGAGGGCCGATATAATTTAGAGAGAGGGTGTTTGAGATTGTTTATTTAAAACAACTTATGTTTTTTTTATAAAAGTGTTTATGAACTTATGTGACATCAAACCGGAGTTTTATAAAGAAAATGTTTGGATTACCTTATGGTGGTACCAAAATGTAAAGCTGATAAGTATTTTTTTCCACCAAAACAGTAAAAACTTCTTATTACTGGTACCACACCAAAATAAGTTAATAAGTTAGAACGGAATAACTTATCAAAAACTCCTTATTACAGGTGCCAAACCGATATATGTATTTCTTTTTTTTTTCCATCCACACACTAAAAACTCCTTATTATCGATATTCGGTACCACACTAAAATAAGTTAACAATTACTATTAAATAAGCAATCCCAAACACCCCCTTAACTCTTAAGGCATGTTTGTTTTTTCAAAATTGATTCTTAATACTTCTGAGGTCTAATTCGTTCAAACGTTTGGGTATTAAGGGGCTTTTGTTTTTGTTTTTTAAATTAAGAGCTTAAAAGCTCTAAGGTGACGTTTGTTTTTAAAGAGGTGTTGAAGTCTGAATTCTTATATCACTTCTGAATGATAAGAAGTGGTGCTGAAATCTGAAATCTGAATCAATAAGACTGTTTGTTTTTGTAAACTGACAAACGTCTGAAGTCTGAAATTTGAATCAATAATATATTTTTGTAAAATCAGGTGTAAACATTTTGAAAAATTCTCTTGATTTTTATAAAATTTTCATTGTCGAAATCCATCTCAATAATTACTTAACAGATGGAATAGTAAGAACCTCTTGGATACCTTTTAGACTTCCGATACTATCGGGAATGCCACCAGTTAGTTTGTTTGTAGAAAGCTCGATACTTTTGATAGAGGATAGATCGCCGATAGAAGTTCTTATTTCACATTAATCTTCTAAGCTAACCTATACGTACAAAAATTATATATATATATATATATGTGTGTGTGTGTGTGTGTGTAGAAGAGGTTTACTTTGCAAACTATGTTATTTGTACAAACCGTACAAACCTCATTCAACCAATCATAATTTTTTATTTTGTTCTTTTTTTTTATAATTATAAGAGATTGATTAATCATTTTCATTGTGAAGGGTGTAAATCATAGATATTATCATCTTCATTATTTTAATTTTAGAGAAATATATGAAACGGTTTCATTGGAATTTCATTAAGTATTATATTAAACGATTTCATAACCATATATGAAACAATTCTTCAAAAAAAGTATTATATGAAACAATTTCACAAGATTAAACAATTTCACAAGATTAAATAATTTTAATGAAACAATTTCATAAGATTAAACAATTAAATCAACGAATGAAGGTGGTTTGCACAGTTTGTACAAATTGGGTGGTTTGCATTTGATCGCTCCTCTATATACATACATACATACATACATACATACATATATATATACATACATACATACATACATACATACATACATACATACATACATACATATACATACATACATACATACATACATACATATATATATATACATACATACATACATATATATATATATATGCATACATACATATAAATATATATATAGGGGGTCATTCAAGAAAGAACTGATTAGTTTGTGGTAACCGTGAGATCCAATCTCAACCACAAATCAAAAGTTAAATTAGAAAATTAATAATTTTGGTAATTTTAACTTAAAATATTAATTAAGGCTACTTTAGTCATTCTAGATTTCTCCTCTCTTCTCTCTCCTCTCAACTCTCTTCGTCAAACACATCCTCTCTTCAACAAACACCATATCAACACATGATGTACATTGTGATACGCTTCATAAAATAATGAAAAAACACATTGTGATACACTTGGTAAAGAAAACATTACTTGATTTATTGTGTTGCACTTTGTAAAATAACAAAAATATATTGACACATTTCATATAATGACAAAAATACATTGTGTTACATACTATGATACCAGATCTGGTTGATGACTACAACTGTAATACCTCTATGTTACCAGTGCGTTACCCAGTAACTTCTAACAGTAAGAAATTATATATTTATTTTCTCAATTGTAACTTCATAGAAAGAAACTTCCATAATTTGTTTGATTAATAGGGAAACAGTATCAATCTCTTTGATTGATAATCGTTAAGAAAAATATTAATAAAATTACTAATACACCATTTTTCTTAATTAAGGTAATACAATTAATATAATAAAATGATTGGCTCATATTGAACCTCATAGTTACCACAAACTAATTAGTTCTCATTTGATTAGGTTCCTATATATATGTGTATATATACATATATAGGGTTGGGTTCACGTGAAACCAAATGTTTTTCGTGAGACCCGTAAGACCAATATATGTTCATTGGTCAACTTTATAAGTTAATGATCTAATGGACTAAATTGTATGATGACAACTTTTGTAATTATTGAGAAGTCTCGTGGCGTTTCTTATTTTTAGATTTTCAAATTGTAGATCTAATCCAAGGATTGAGAATTGGTCTTACGGGTCTTACGAAAAACCATTGGTCTCATATGATCCCAAGTCTACATATATATATATATACATATATATACATATATATATAGAGAGAGAGAGAGAGAGAGAGAGAGAGACCTAGAGAGAGAAGGTGGGGCATGTATTTCATATGAGTGATAAAAGAATAGTGGCATCTTTGGCGGAGAAAGAAGCAATAATCAAAGAGAATAAAAAAAAATGAAAAATAAAAGAAATTAAGGTATTAGTTTATCTCTTATTTATTCAGATTCTATTGAGTAATAAGAGACTCTAAAATAATAAAAAAACAAACCGTCTGAATGAATAAGACATAAATGATAATTAATTGCTGAAAATAAAAAAAAAATAAACAGAGCCTAAATGTCGTCTGAAATTTTAAGCGGTAAACGTATCTCTTTAACACCTCTTAATTCTAATTTGCCTCTCTATCAAATGGTTCTTATTTTGATGGCTAAAAGAGATTTATTAATAAAAACTATTTATTTTTTATATTTTTGTATAAAAACTATTTATCTTTTATACTTTTACATTAGTTTAACCAATTGAAATTATAGATTTTATATGTAAAAATAAACAATCTTATTTAGATTTCAGATTTCAAAACCATATTATATAAATCAGAAATGAAATGATATTCAGAATTTTCAGCACCATATAATAGGAGTTGTGGAGCAACATATAATACGATTCGTGGGTGCGGTTTAAATTACCAAATAGAAATGTTTTGAGGGGCGCCAAATTCGTTTCTCCCTCCTCTCGCTCTAGAATGTCAGCAATAAAATCGAGCTCCAGGAAGAAGAAGACAACCACAGAATCGGGAACTCCGAAGACGGAACTGAAACGAATGACCGTGGAAGAAGATGATTTCGATTTTGATGCTGATCAATTGAAGCAGCGAGCTCCGAAGAAACAACGGTCCACTTTTGAAGATGATTTTGATGCCGATCTATCTAGGTAATTTTTCTGTTCCATACTTGCATATGCGGAAATTTTACATTACGCAGTAGTTCACGTGTTTATTGCTAACTAGATATTAAATCGCGTGCTATTTTCATTTCATGAATATTGTGTAGTGGCACCAGTTTGTTAATGACGACACTGCATATGTAGGAAGATTTGATTATATTATACAATTTCAATTGCAATAAACTATATAGTGTTGCTGATTTTTTGTATATATGTAATAAGCATCAAATTGCCTTTACATTTTGAATTCGGACAACTATTTTTGAAAATTTGCAGCGACATTAAAGGTTTAATGAGCGCCTTACATCAGATCAAAGAGAAAGCACAAAAGGACGGGCAGAAGAAAAAAGAGGAGACTATTTCGAGGTGCATTTTATTATTTGCTTACTGTTTATTCTATTTTTGACACTTGCTGTTGGAGCATATGAATTTTTTATTGGTAAGGAATGAAGAATTGTATCTATTTTCCCAAGTGAGGTTTTCTATAAAGTTCATACATGTTTTTGCCATCTAGATCTGCATATTAAGATATCTATTTGCTTCATCGTAAGTATGTTCTGGTGATTCTGTATTATGTTCTATGATAAGTTCATCCATCAGGATTGCTAGTATTGAGGATGATTGATCGTTTGGTTTAATTCGATTGAAATTGCTTGGACTTTTTGAAGTAAAATTATTTTTCCATGAACAATAAACCCTTGTGTTGTGTACTTTCCTTCTTCAGCTATATGTCATCAGTGGATTTTCAAGTATTTCACTAGTAGATTATGGGCTTTACCTGGATGCAATATAGGTATATCATATATGCACAAGCAGAATCTTTGATTTTTATAAGCTCCTTGGCTGAAATTAAAATGTTTGATATATGTAAGTTGATCCTTCATCAAACTTTATTGGCTTTCTTTTCAGTGAAAAATCTTTTCAACTTACTTCAACGTTAGCAGTTGAATGAGTCTGCGTTTTAATAGTGCACCCTTACATTCTTTTGATCCGCCGAAGCAAATTGTTTGTTCAGTTAAGGATAAACATGCATAGTGTTTTTTCCTCTGAACATACTGGATGAACCTTTGAAATGCATATTCAACCTGCTTCTGCAACATCCTCATCCAAAATAAATGCCGGATTTGGTTTCAGAAAATCTATCAAGCATCATATGTACTACAAAGCATGACCATATATGCTCCCAGAAAGTCAGTCCAGGACAATCTACTACACCAGATTTCCATCAGTACAATATGACATAGCTATTGACTGAATTCCCCAGGAACATCATCTTCCATTGTTTCAAAACTGCAGGTGATTCATATCAATTTGACTTGATTTGTGAAGCAAATGATGTGAATTCCATTAACTTGTTACAATTCAATCTGATTTGCCATAGAGGATCAGCATTTTATATGCGGTCCTAATTGTGTCTGGAACTTTTTGATCCAAAAACTTATTAGTAGCCACATTAGTAGCTTGGTTTTTTGTTGCCATTTGGTAAAGACATTATGAAGGACAATTAGCTTAAAAGAACTTCTCATTTAAAATAATTTGGTTCATACATCATCAGCTAGTTTTTTTTATTGCCATTTGGTAAAGAGATTATGAAGGCAAAAGCCTTTTGTATCTGCACATGTTTAACGGTCGTTCTAGAAGAAGCTAAAGGGAACCTAAACTCAGTGCAGTTCATGAAATTGATACCGATACTCAAGCCCGTTCATGAGTGGATAATTATGCCTCCAATTTATAAACATTCTGTCACTATAGAAACCGATCTAAATATTATAGGCTGATAAGAACTGAATAAATTCCTCAAACTTCAAAACCTTGTCCAATCCCATGAATTCTCATTCATGAATTCTACCAACACTTGGAGATTGCTGTATGCGAGTCACCAGAACAAGAAAGTAAAGCAAAAGGGTATAAGCACTGAGCAACATATTTGAATCTTCTACCAAATAATCATTTATGCAGACTTTTGCTCGCTGACAAGGAAAAGAGAGAGAATCAAAGTCTTTGATATGTTGTCTACATATCCTAATTCCATCTATCACTCAAATAGACTCAATAATTTGGTTTTCCAACAGTGTTGCTACAGAAATCAGGTCCAAGTTTGATGAGTTGAAGTCCAAAGTAGAGAAAGAAAGGTGATTGTAAATACCAACTGATGTCTGATCTGAACATTTATATTATATGGTCTTTGATCTTCTAATTCCATATCTAAAATACATTTATATCCTGTAAATTCCAGGCAAAACTTTGCCAAGGCACTATCAAAGAGCTCACGAGAGGTGTGCAAAGAGAATCCCCATCTTAAACAGACTACTTGTAAGAATTTTTCTACTCTGTCTCAGTTGAATATTAAAACGCCTTTAAGTTTGCGTACACAGTGTGAGAACTTGCTGAAGAATGAGACCTCCAAGTTTCAAGCAGTTTATGAAAATTTTTGCAAGGACAAGAATTCACATCTTCAGGCTCTGAAAGGTACTAATCACTTGCCAAATTAATGCTTTGGTCAGTGAATACTATCTATACTGAAACTGATATTTATGCACATAGGGTAAACAAAGAAACCTAAAACCAGCACCAAGTTGTATCATATTGAGAGCTTCTGTCCCTTCATAATTGGCTGCTTGGTTACAGTTTCTTAATCCTCAAATTACCACCAAAACAAAACCAATGAATAATATATATATATATATATATATATATATCATTTTGCAGTATAATAAGAAGATACAAGGGGTTCTCATTTTGTGGGATTACAGTATAAGATGTAAGAGATTAACATCGTTGTGGCATGCCACAACCATTGCAACCCTAGTGCACCCCTTGACACACGATACACAACATAATATACATGCATATATATATATATATACACACACACACATATATATACACACACATATATACACATGCACGTATATTCACCGTACATTCATACACATCCATCATACCCTCTATACCGAATTTGCCCCAGCACCCTCTGTGCCAACTCTTGCATACCCTTAGGCTAGTCCAAATTTCCAAAATAATGTGTAATTTCACAAAATAATGTAGTTGTCTAATTCTACAGCCATATTTGGCTATAGCATGATTGAACCATACTTTCCAATTATAATATATATATATAGAGAGAGAGAGAGAAATAGGAGTTTGAACAGCTGCTCATGCTCCTTTAATTACAACCAAAAGTGATATATCATGCCAAAGAAGTTATCAAGGTCTATTTTTTAACATTAATTCATCACCAATTTGTCTGAGATAATAGAAACAAAATTGGTTTTGGATGTAATAATAATTTGGTTCTTGTTTAAGCCTGAGCCATGGTCGATGATAGACAATCTCAGAAAATGCACCTCATTGGTGCTTGTGATTCTTATTATACGAGTTTGGGCCTGTGCATTTTGGGAGCCAGAGCGAGTGCTCGTATTACCTTTCTCCATATTTAAGATATGCAATATTTTGAATCAGAGAGAACACTTGACTAATCTTGAAGAAAGTTGAAATTAGAAGAATGTAAAACTCAAAGTCGAAAGTCTCAAACACATATAGTGAGTTGATTAGAAGTTTGTAACTTTACAATGCAATGTTGGACCCAAACCGCCTAAACAACCGAAATGAAAGCTACGCATGGAACTGTCAACCATCAAACTGCCCAAAACTAACTGAGCTGAACCGGGCAGTAAGTGGCTTGGTCATTTAGGCATTTCAACCATCAAGATTAATTCCTGAGTTTCAATGTTCTTGCTAACATGACAGATATCATTACAAAATATGAAGAAGAGAAGGAGAGATTGTTTATGAGATACGAACAACACAGTAAGGAAATGACTTTCACTTGTCGGATAATTTGATCAAAACTACTGTCATGAACTGATCATCATGTTCCACGCAGGAAAGAAAGAAAAGAGCATGATATCCGAGCACGAGAAAGCTTGTGCAACCAAAATTTCTGAACTGGAGGAGTCACTGAAGAAAAAGAAGCAGGTTACATATCTCTTCTTTATCTTCCTCCCCCCCTCACACCCACTAAGTGGTTTCCGTGGCTCGCATAGTGGGTTGAATATCCAGGTTAATAAAAAAAAAACATAAGAACTCTAACTTAAACGATGGTGTTGTTGGTCCATATATAGGATGACAAAACATTCAGCATTCTACGGAAAACTCTAGGCTCTTTTCTTGACAATGCCTCTGATGAGGACTTCCCACCTGACGATTGAAGCCAAAATCTGGAAACATAGTATCTGCAGAATCTCGTTGGTATTCCTTTTCTACCTTCGCACCATAAACTAGTTTCATTCTTGGTAATCTTAGTGCAAAAAGAAAGGCTCAGCTGGTTATCTTTCACTTTAGATATATACTAATACTAATATCAACCACAACCTTACTCTTAATCTGGTTAGGGATATATAAATTAGATCACATCAATGTTTTAGTAGCAATTACATTACACGTCTGATCATGAACTATCCAAGTTTTCCCTCACTTGGAGGGCAAAAACCGGCTTCAATTCCTCGTCTGCAGCCAAAAACCAACTCGTTTAATCCAAAGCGTGTCTATTTGATCGGTTGATTTTTAAAACATGTGTGAGAATATGGGATTAAGGGGCTCTTTACCAACACTTATTGGATAAGCATTTATCATAACTAGAAAGGTACTCGCGTAATACACCGAGATATATCTCGATTTTAATGTTTTATTTTATTCTGTCTCAGTAGATGGTATAATATGGTTTTTATGTGGTTTTGAGAAAGAGATAATGTCTTATTTTTGAATAAAATATATATATATTTGAAGATATTATAAAATTTGGAAAATAAATATATCAATATTAATATCAAATTAACTATTTAAAATTCTAGTTTTTTTGTAATTTATTTAATTCAATTTTTTATAATAATTTAATTTAAATTTAATAATGAAGTAATTTAATTTTGATTTAATAATATAATTTTTTATAAGGCTAGTAATTAAGTATTCTTTTAGAACTTAATGATTATCCTAACTATATTTTAGATCTTTTATATTTAAAATGAAATGTTTATCTTGTATTTGACTATGTTTATCTGCAGTTAGTTACACGAATTCAAACATGAAGCTTTAATAAGTTGTACTTATGCATACTTTATTTGTAATCTTGAATTTTAAGTAATATGCATCAATAAAATAGTACTTCATGCATAAAAAAATGGTTTTTAAGAGTTTTTGTCAAATGCTTTATAATATAGTATATAGATCATGGATAAGAGCTTATTGGAACAACATATAGGAGTCTACTCATAGATTGTTGTTATACACCATCGTCTCTGACTACTAGGTCAGTAAAAGTTGACCCAATAAGAGCCAACACATTCATCGGGTAAAACTCTTGTTAAGCAAAATAATAGAGTAAGGGGCCGTTTACTAAATACTTACCTGATAAGTGCTTATCGGGTAATTTTCCTCATCTGATGAACGTCACAACTCACAGGGGCCGAAAATCTTACCCGGTAAGAGTGATGATAAGGATTGAGAGTCTTTACCCGGTAAGTGAGGGTGACGACTCTTACTCAGGTAAGAGTTTACCGGGTAAATTGTTGCATACGATACTATTTTAATGTACTACAATCTTATCTAGTAAAATATATTATAGTATTGACTCCTACCGGCAAAAGCTTACCGGGTAAGCATTTGGGTAAGCGGCAACTAAGATTTTTGATAAACATCTTCATCTTCTGAGTAAGCGTTTCAGAATAAGAGGCTCTAAATGTTTAGTTATCGGTAAGAATTTAGTAAAAGAAGAAAAAGAATTCGGCCAAGGCCCAAGGGTGCCAACAAGGTTTTGTGCCATAAAATACAAAAGTAAAAAGAGATGCAACTACAATAGAAACAGGACGTGTTGGTATAAGTTGTTATGGCTTAATTAAGGAGCAACTAATTTTATTGTATCGTAAAACTCTTATCTCATTCTAAAACTTAAATTAACAATTAATTACTTGGATACGTATGGTGGCTTTTAAAAACTCCACTCATAAAACTATATCTGATTAATTAATAGGTTTAAATACATGATAAATATTGAGTATTATTGATATCACATAATACATTTACATTTAATTATCTGTTTACTAATAAGATTCTAAATCTCGTTGGGTAGATAACTATAAAATTGGTCATGACTCATGTGTTATGACCCAATAAATCAAATTTAAGCGGTTAACACGAACGAGTTGTATTTTTAATAATATAAGTAATCATACTCATTTTATTTTAATAGAATAATACTCGTATAATGCACGGAAACACATCTCGATTTTAATGTTTTATTTTATTATTTGCCTCTGTCGATGTTATAATACGATTTTATGTGTTTTTAATAAAGCAATAATGATTTTATTTTTGAATAAAATGTAAACTTGAAGATATCATAAAAATTTGAAAAAGAAATATCAATTTAAATATCAAATCAACTATTTAAAAGTTCTCATTTTTTATGTAATTTCTTTAAAAAAAATTATTATAATTTAATTTAAGTTTAATAACGAAATAATTCATTTTTGGTTTAATAATATAACATTTTATAAAG